ATATCTTAATAGTATGAAACTATGTGCAGAATTATTATTCTTCTGACTATAGCTAAATTTATAATTTATAAAAATGATACATCCAGTATTTTCTGTAAAATTTTCTTTCTTACAAATCGTAATAATGGCCCAGAGAATCAGCCTCTCTATCACCTGACTGCCAACGCCAATGTTAAGCTGGAAAAACACTCACACCAGGCAGAGTAATATAGAAGTTTATACATACTCCTAACTGTATCCTAAAGCTAAGTGCATCTGGTTATTCAATTAGATATTATCCTTGTTACAGACGACCCTATTAGACAAATAACTGAATGTGGAAAAGGAAAGAGCAAACATACATTAACTTTTTAAATAAATAGTTTCATAAATACCCAGTGTGCTAAAAACTGTACTTCCAGATTTTCAGAGCAACTTTTTAAACTTATTTCATAAAATGTTTCCATAAATCAAAGGATCTTTATAATTGTAACTGAAAACATTCGGATTCTTCTTAGAAATTCAAATAGGCAAACATTTCAAGCTATGTAGAAATTTCACGTAAATGCTAATATTTCAGAAACAATCAACTCGACTCTTTTCTAATTGTATAGTGATTTAAACAAAGAAAATTAAAAAATAAAATGAGTAGTGACCAGATGATTACCTGTTCCTTAATGGTAAAAGTAGAAAGGTATACAAACAACTATTTTTATTAAGATGACTGGCAGCAGATCAGTTAGCAGATGATATTACAGAGCAGTGTTTCTTACTATTTGTGTTGTGGGTTCCATTGAGAAGCTGAGAAGAGCTATGGCTCCTCTCTCCAAGAAAGTGTATGGCCATGTGAAATTCTGCACATAACTCTGGGATGGGAAGAGATTTATAGCAATCTTGATACCCGTACTTGGACCTTCTGTGTAGACTATGAGCAAGTATTAATTAAGGAATACTGGGAACTGTACTCAGAGTAAGACTAGTGTTGTTTTAAAACTTTCCCTCCTTTGCCTCTTTTATCTTGTCCTTTGCTTCTATTTACCAGCCTAAAAGAAGACCATCGGTATAGTAAGATGAACACGAAGCTTGGTTTCTCTCTCTCTGTAGGCTGACCTTAGTAGAGCTGCCCTCTATTTCCCAGTAAACTGTTTATATACTTTTATAAACTCATTTTTCCTCCCCAAACCTGAATGGTGTCTCTAATCACAGCATGAAAATTATCAGATTTCTAGAAACACATTATCTTCCACAGAAAACTTTAATGTCAGGATTTCCTGCGCTTCTGAAAGAGCAGAACTGTAATAATTTTTATAACACAAGTTCTCTTTTAAAATTAAGTTAAATATGCTGATTAGCAGTTTAAGCGGTAACAAATATACCGTCTTATTTTAACGAAAAGTAATTAAATGAAAATACATCATCTTGGGAACAAAAGGTAGTTAAAGTTTATGTTCTGTTCAATGCCCATTCGGTTTAAAGGAGGCCCGGTAAAAAAGAACGCTGACACAATTTCCTCACTATTTTCCTTTGTCTTTATATTCGAATGGTTACAAGCTCAAAGTGTTGTGCACTTAGATAATCCACACGAATTTTTAATAATTCTATTGCAGTTTAAGCCTTATCAAAATTCACACCTGCAATCTGCAACATTTAAATATCAAAAGGATTAATGGGACTGGTTTCCTCTGCTTCCTGTGGGTGTCACCTCACAGACAACACGAGAGCATGCTTCTCCCGGGTGCAGAAACATCTGTCCTGTGTCGCTAAAAGGCAGGCAGCGAGAGTCCTGTTTTGAAACAGTTTGTCAAGAATAAAAGTTTGCAGCTCTTTTAAAATGAGTCTGTTACTAAAAAATTAACACAGCATGTCTATTTCATTTACAGCCACATTTCGCAAAGCGCTTTTGACAAATATAAAATATAAATGCTTATTTCCAAAACTTATGCAGCCCTAACTTCATCCTAATCCCAGTTTTCCAGTTATTCAGCCAGAAAATCTTGGTGTCCTTGACTTTCTCCTTCCTCTACCTTCTTTCAAAAACAGTAATGCGTTGGCTCTGCCTTCAAAGAAGACATCTAGAATCTGACCCCTCCTCATCTCCTTCACTGTCTCTGACTTGCATACAGCCTGTTTTCAACACAGCAGTGAGTGATCTTTTAAAAATATAATGACATTTGCCGCTCTGTAATGAGCCTGCATCGCTCCTCTATTCAAAGTACCCGGTTGCTCCCTATTTCTATTATTGTTAAAGCCAAAATCCTTACAAAAGCCTCAAGGTCCTAGGTGACCTGATCTGATCCGCTCCGCCCCCAACCTGCACCCCGTTACTTGTCTGACCCCCCCTTCTCTTCCTTCCTTACTGCGCTCCAGCCACCCTGGCCTCCTGTGCAGTTTACTGAACATGTCAAGCTGTCTTTGCGACCACATGACTAACTCCCCCACACCGTTCCATCAAGTTTTCTCAACAAAGTCTAGCCGACAACTTTAATACCACGACCTGCCTCACCCCCTGTATCACCCCGAAAGCCTATTTAAATCAACTTGCCCGGGTCCCCTCTTATTTCCATATTACTGACAGCCTAACAAACTAGATTTGTTTATTCGTTCGTCTGTTCATCTCACAAACACACCTTAACATATAAGATCCACGGGGCCAGGACTTTCTACCTATTTTGTTCACTGATATATCCTATCTAAGTGATTAGTACGGAGACCAGCATGTAAATGTCCAACAAACATTGAATGAAACTTTTAAATGTCCATTTTCTTGGTGGCCACTTACCACAATGACACAGAACATCTGAAGCTAAACACTCAGCACTCAACAAGGTTACTACAGGTAATATTACTATCTTAGAAACGGGAAGGTCCATACATAGGACCCTAGAAAATTAAAATTACATATTCACACAAAAGCTTGCATATAAACGTTCATTGCAGCATTATTCATAGGCAAAAAGTAGAAATAATCCACACATCCAACGACTAATAAACGAATTAACAAAATACGGTATGACAACAAAACAGACTATTATTCAACAATAAAAGGAATGAAATATTGACCTATACTGCAAAATGAATGAACTTTGAAAATACTATTCTAAGTGACAGGAGTCAGACACATAGGGCTACATGTTGTATCATTCCATCAATAGGAAATGTCCAGAACAGGCAAGTCCTTGGGGACAGAAAGTGGATTAGTGATACCCAGGGGAGGGACAGAGGAAAAGGGAGAACAGGAGTGACCGTTAATGGGGACATGGTTTCTCTGATGCACAATCTTGTAAAAATACTAAGTACTGAATTGTACACTTGAAAAAGTGAATTTTATCTCATTTTCTAAAACTCGAAAACAAAAGCAAATAAAATGGAAAGGACTGCTCGGGTGAATGGTCGCTGCTCACTAATACGAGACGGCTAAGAGTCGGGGATACCTGCTTGGCTGTACTCAGTTTTAAGGATCCCATCCACCAACTAATCATAGCAAAGAGATTTAAAAGCGGGGGGCGGGGGGCTGTCATCTGTAAGTAGCAGCAAGCAGAAGTTTTCCGTCGTATCCAGTCCATTCAAATCCTATCATCATCCCACCTTCAATGCTGCCCCTTGGCACGCCTGGTCCGCCAGCTCTCACCAGAACTTGGTGGCCGTTCAAGTCACCTCCCACTCCCACTCTTGCTCCTTGCAGTGTTGTCTGTACAGCAGTTACTGTTCTTCCAGAAAACGTCTACCGGATCACTTCACTCTCTTGCTCAAACCCTTCAATGACTTCCTAAGACTCAGATTTTACTCTAAGGCCTTACTTGGCCTACAAGGCCCTACACTGTATTGGCCTCGTGACCTCTCTGGCCTCATCTCCGAGGACTCCATCCCTACAGGCCTTCTTCCTGTTCCTTAAACATGCCAAGGTCAAACAAGCCAAACAATCCTCCTCAGGGCCTTTGCACTTGTATTTTCTGCCTGGGATGCTCTTACCCCAGATAACTAAGTGGCTCGCTATATCGTTTGTTTTACATGATGCTTAAATGTCATCTCTTTAAACAGGCCCTTCATTGCATCTAATCTAAAGCAACACCCTCTGTCACTTTAACCTGAATTTATAGGCCGAGTTAGCAAAAACATTCTTTGGTGAAATATGCAGTCATCTAACATACTTTTAAGAATTACAGTAAGCAAAGTATTGGCAATCTGGACAGAAAGCAAGTCGGTATTTTAGAAAATTACCTTTCATCAAAAAGACTATAAATTTATAGGACAAAATACATTTGCCATATCATGGATCTAAATCCCTTAGAATATTATAGTTAAATATTGACTATGAGGTTAACATTCACACTGGATTAACCACCTGATTGCTGTTCCTCCCACCTGCTCTCTTAATCTTACATCTTAATAAGTAGATCCACTTGGACGGGGGCCTCCTACACGTCCTTTAAATACCTAAAACCCTATTCATCTGTACTCCAATGACAACTTGCTTCAGTGACAACATCCATCTCATGCCCCCAGGAAACCTCATCTTCCTCCTACCTGGGGTGAGTTCCTAGATCCCATAATCTACTTTGTAGCTGTCGCTGTCGCGGGTCTCTGCCCTCAGCTCCAGTTCAAGCCCTCGCTCACTTCCCACGGGCGTTCTCACCTGGAATCTCCCTTTTGATGTATTCACTACAAAACTACCAAAGTGATCTCCGTATTATAGAAATCCAACTCACGGGCGTTCTCACCTGGAATCTCCAGACTTTCCATTCAGATCTCCCTTTTGATGTATTCACTACAAGACTACCAAAGTGATCTCCGTATTATAGAAATCCAACATCTTTACCCCTTCTTAAAAACCTTCGGTGGTTCCATGTAGCTTTTGAGAAAATGTTCAACTCCTTAATTTAGCCTCGTCTCCAACCAATGCCCTCCTCTTCCCACTCCAAATACACCATGCTTTAAGTTGATCAAGCCACAGTGAACTACTTAGTTTCCAAATACAGCGTCTTGGGGGTTTTCTGTTTCTGTTTGTTTGATTTTTTTTTTTTTTAAATATGGAACGCTTCATGAATTTGCGTGTCATCCTTGCGCAGGGACCAGGCTAATCTTCTCTGCATTGGTCCAGCTTTAGTGTATGTGCTGCCGAAGCAAACAGTGGTATATTTTTTCCCCAATGTTGTTCCCTCTCTGTCTGAAACACTCTTTTCTATCCTCCTTTGCCTAGTGAAAGCTTTAACACTCAGCTTAGATGTCAATTCCGCCAGAAGACTTTCCCTGGCTTTCTGATTTCGATGTCCTCTTCCGTCCTCCCATAGCACTTATCACAATTATATATTGCAATCGATACTCTCATAATTTAAATGCACTGTTCTGCTTTCTCTGTGAGCGCCTAAGTTGTGAGCTCCTTGAGAGCAGGTCTGATAGTTCATTCACCTTCATTCCACACTGCCTGACACTTGGAAGGGGTTGTTGTTAAATGAATAATTTATGTGAATTGCGATTTTGTTCAAGCAAAACACCAATCGTGGGCAGCCTCTCAACTTTCACCACATAAGACACTAACTTCCAATAAATAAGCTAAGTTTTTAGTACTACCGATTACTAGTAGATTCCCTGAAAAGAGGGATGGGGAGGGAGGGAAGGAAAGGGACAGAGAGGGAGAGAGATTAAAAAAAGGAGGAAGAGAGGAAGGAGGGAGAGAGCGAGCTAGGAGAAAAAGGAGGGAAGGGGGGAGGGGGGAGGAGGAAGGGGGGAAGGGGGAGGGAAGAGGATTGAGAAAATGCACATAAGCAAAAGGCATTAAAAAAGGCATTTGTAATTAACCTGCTATTTGTATGTGATCTAAGCCAACGTTTACTGAAAAGAGAATGATACATGGAAAAAGCCCTATCTCCCCAGATTCTAAATACAACCATCTAAGTCACTTAGCCCTTAAGATTCTGAACTGTCTAGCCTATCCAGCCCATTTCACTGGAAAATTTACAACAGTGTAATCAGAGATGTTAATAATATGCACAATACAGAAGAAAAAAGTTTTATTTAGAAAAAAAGTAGGAAATGAATCTGACATAATTAAGTCTTAAAATTATTTAGAAAGTTTAATAATCTGTCATTTCCTGATAATGTGTTATCGCTGACATAGAAAGGTCTATCAAAAGTATGAAAAATAAATCTAACATAAGACCAACATCGTAATCTATGTTAAAGCACAAAATTGCTATTGCATTAGATTTCTCAAAAACGCACCAGGCAAAAATGTAAGATACTGTATACTAGTCAGTAAAGCAGCTTTATTTACTTAAATAAATTCTTGAAGTTAGCACTACAGGAAAATTGCTTCTAAAACATATAATACTAAAATGATATATACATTTTTATTTGGGGATTTTAAACAACCAAGAGTATTACTAATCACTTTTTCAATTACCTTAATACACTGTCATTCAGTAAAATTTAAAATTTTTTGTGACTAATAGGACAGATGATACAAACTTAAAAGCTTGCTTCAAAGTACAGATATGTTTGGTAAGATCAGATATATGGCGTAAATCTTTCTATAGCTCAGCTGTCATTTACAGTATAGAAATTGGCAACATATTTTAAAAAAGAAAATGTAAGCCCAATATGATCAACCCTAAATACTTTTTGAATTGCGATTTTGTTCAAGCAAAATACCAATTGTGGGCAGCCTCTCAACTTTCAGCACATAAAACATTAACTTCCAAGAAATAAGCTAAGGTTTTAGTACTAGTGACTTCCAGCAGGTTCCCTAAGAAGACTTACCATACTTACAAAAACAGGAAGTTCTTCTTGTATTAAATCAGAAATTTATTTTAATGACGCTTTCCTTTTAACATTACCAATGCTTTTTTTAAAGGCAGCAATGATGTAAACACTGAGCATTTAAAATTAGTTGTTCTCAAATGACACCCCCAAATTTGCATTTGCCTAGTACTATGAAACTTTCAAGGCTAAAGTTTCCAACATACTTTCATTTTTTAAATAGACCAATTGGGGGGGAAAAAGAAAAAGGAAATGAAAGAAAGGAAAGGAAAGGAAAATTTAAATCTAAAAGACCTTCAACTTACATTTCTTTTAACCAGACATTAACAGAGTCCCTAAGATGTGTCAGGCACTACATTGGAAACTGTGACAGATTACAACATTTATTCTAAACTCAACCCTGTATCATTCGGCTGCTGATCTATTACATATCATTCAACCCAACACTTTTCTTAAGAAATTCTGGTCCAACACCAGAAAGATAAAAGTTTTTCCTAATAAACTCACTTGTCACTGTTTCATACAGGTCACGGAAGTTCTAGGTAGCATCTGCGACTAACGAAAGGGATTCATTTCTGAAATCACTGTTTTTCATTTACATGAAGGTGAGACAGCAATTCAGCAGATATAAACGTTTCAGGTAGTTTATGGCACCCCACACTCAAGAAAAAAAAAAAAAGACAGCCATAGCTTTTATCTACTTTCATAAACACAAGCATGACAAATTTTTATGTGGATGCAGTATTATAAAAGCAATATTGATTCTAAAGAAAAGTGAAGTGAATGTTTAAAATCAGTTCAAAGGAACTATGAAAGGTACGTGAATTTACATTTCGACATACTATCTGTTGCTTTCCTATACTTGTGAACACACTCTACCTTTTCAAACACTTATGAATTTGTGATGGATGAAAAATATCTGCCAGTGTCTGTTCCACCAGTTGAATCTAGACATACCAGATATCTAGAGTGCCTTTAAAAATATGACAGCATTCACTTCTATATTCTCTAAAGTGGAAAAACAGACTGTACTTTTATTGCTATCAATTTTTTCCACCAATTAAGCAAAACGTACTTTTTAGACAACATCCTCCACTCAACACGTTTACAATTTAAGAAGAACCTGGCCATCAGCTTTCCACAGTGCAATACAGCATCTAACAATTCCCAGACCAAACAAACCAATAAAGAAAAATAAGCCACATACTCTTAAGTCTCTGGAAATACAAGGAACCTGCTATCTCTGAGTTTGTAAAGATCATAAAAATGCCTTAAAATCTTTCAAATAAGATTATTTTCGTGTCTAATCAGTCTTCTGCTAAAAATTCACAGTACTCTTAACACAATAAATGAGATTTTCTTTCATCAGTGTATAAGCGACAGAAACACAATACAGTTGAGGTTCTAGAGTCAGATTACTTGACCTGCTTTTTCCGTTTCACCTTTTAAAACACCCCCTCCCCTGCATGCAACTATTCCACTCATTCTTTGCAAAAAGAGACGTCCTATATGGGAAAAGGAGCCTCAGTGAGCTATCCTGTACTGCTCCAACTCCAGAGCACAGCCCACAGATACATATCCACACCAGCTGACCCGGTCGTCTCCCGGGGAAGGGCTCGGGCACCCAGCCACCAAGCACACCTTCCTCGGTAACACTCGGAGGCCCCGCGACATCGATCCAACCCCCCACTTCCTGAATTCTACAAGCCCCGAGCTTCGTTTTCTGTAGGCAAGCTCACCTTCATGATGATTCCGGGACCGCGATCCCCTGGAAAACACCAGATTCACCTGCACCTGGAAGAGAGACAAAAGACACCCAGTGAACACCACAGGCACCCCCTACACGGGCGGAGGCGGAGGGGCCAAAAAAGGCCGTCGAACACGCGAGACACCGATGCGGGGCTCCCTGTGGCCTCGCCACCCCGCGCACCCCGCCACTCACACAGCTCGGCGGCTTCGCGTCCCCATTGTCGGGACCCGACGGAGTTTCCCGTCTCCGACAATGACGCCATTTCTGTCAGAGGAGAAACTCACAACAAGCCGGGTCCGGCCGGGCCTCGGCGCACCCCGCGTCCGAGCGGACAGCGGCC